TATTAATCGTTAAAAAACTAGTTATAAAATTTATTTTAAACATTTTATTCAATTGTACTATATATTTTATTATATATATAATGATTTATGTCTTAATTTATATATTTAAATACTATTCAAAAATATTTATTTTTAACAAAACATATTTTTTAAAATAAAAAATTGAAAAAAAACATATTTTACAGAATTTAACGAAGAGAATGGAGACGTACGTAAACTGTAAATTATGCAGATGCTTAACCTAACAATGCTTATTTTAAAATTTAGATGAAGTAATTAAGCAAGAATGAGAGAAGCGTTTATATGTGGGAGAGTAATGATGAGCACTTTTGGCACAGAATAAAATATATAATGAATGATGCGTGGCGTGATAAGAAGTGTCGGGTAAATCCAACGGTGAGCAGATTTGATTACAGTAGCCACTGCCCACTAGACTAAACAGAGAGGAGTCTCGGGGCGTCTTGGAAGAAACGGTAAGTACACTTCCCTCCTATGCTCATGGGAAGCATCTTTAGAGGATCACGCAACTCTCATCATGAACAAAATATAATTGCCAATCACATAAACATATATTACTTTCTAAATCGCATAAATTAGATACTTGTGCTGTGTTGTGCACCATCTGTTTGCTGAAATTCCCACCTTGGTTACTAGCACCATCACATGCCATTCCACCTTCAGAAACAGTGCTCATAACATGTTTGTTATAATGTCTGAACCACGACATGCTTGCGTTGATTCCTGGCGCACTTGTTATTGGCCATCCCCGCTCTCTATTTGCCTTTTGGCGTTTATTCACTTAACATGGAATTGTGTGTGCATTTAATTTGGTTTTTGTGAGCCAATTTCCTGACTGTTTGATTTTGTGTTGATATTTTCAGAATTGCTTAAAGGTTGGTGTTGCCATTGGCCAATTTATCTGCACATTTTGTGTCTCTGGATATTCGAAGGTCTTGGTGGTCCAAGTTTTGATTTAAGTCATTTTGGGTGACACGCACTCGGAAATATTTTGTGAGAATGAATAGAAAATTTGGAGGTGGGAAGAAGCCAACAGGGACTCCTTCACTGGCTTGGTCCTGTGTGGTTGTTGTCTTCTCTCTTCTTGCTGGAGCCTCCGTTGTTCACAACATCTATAAGCCTAATCTTGTAAGCTTTTCTCTCTAACTTCTTTTTTCATGGCCATTATTTCTATGTGGTACCTTTTTCTTATTCAGTGTTATATTTAAAATGGTAATAGGCACAAGGTATATGTTTTTTATTTATTTATTTGTTGAGGTTGGACTTTATAATGCTTCGTATTTGTTAACACATAGGGAGCTAATGTGCTTGATTGAAACCTATGCCATTTAAAATGTCTTTTCTTCTTTTCAATTTGTCAAAATAAACGCACAGTTGAGAACATTGCTAATTGTTGTGTTTTTGAGGAGCATTGATACATCCTCCGGAATTTTTTTAACTATAAAATATAAATTTAATTAAAAATAAAAAAGCTTTTTAATCAAAATATACATTATGAGGATTTAGCATTTTTCTTTTTTGAGATATAACCCATCTCTCTACTTGAAATTGCACTGATCAATGCAGTGTACTGTTAATAAAACTGTCAAAAGATCAGCGTTGTCTGGCCTGACCCGGCCCAGCCCGTTGGGCCAAGCTTGAGAAACGGGTTGGCTGGCATGGCCTGACTTTTACACGGGTTGAGTTTTATCTGACTTGGCCTGGCTTGTCGGACTGCGGGCAAATTAAACTATTTTATTTACTTTTAATAACTTTACATATAACTTCAAAGGAAAATTTTTAAAATATCGAACCAAATTTTTACTAGTACAACCGTCGAGCTTTGGACCTAAAAATAAAGAGCCTAACCTAATGAGTCAATCTATTGAGCTGGGCCAAATTTAGCAGCTCTAACTGTGACTCTGTGAGTGTGCAACCAGTAACTTAAGTTCAACGTGTATGATTTCTTATAAATGTTTGATCCATTTGACCAACTAGACAAATTGTCTCACGATTTAGTTCATGCTGCTATAAATTTCAAGCCACTCTTTGCAAACATTGCAATGAAGATACTATAGTTGTAGTAGTGTACAGTAATAACAGGTTCAAATTCCTTATCGTTTCCTCTATTTGCACTGTGAATTTAATATTTCCCTAGATTGCATCATAGACAGTGAATTGCATAACAGCTGTAGAAATAATAAAGTTTATTATATAAAATACAAACTGTTGAAACAAAAGTCATGGATGTGTAACCGTTATCCTCCCTTGATTTTCTAATCATTTGTTATCGCTTACACTATGCTATCTAAAGTGTCTGGAGTACAATCTAGAGGATCGATATATATTTGCTGTAATTTTGCTTACTCGTTTATTTCTACTATGTAGACATTGCCTCCAGTTGATGAAGTTGATAGGACCAAGCAGAAACATGACAAGCAAGAATGATCATCTCCTGTTGAATTCCTTTTTAGTATCGACAAGATGACCAAGTTTTGGGGGCATAAATCACTGCAAGTAAGTCTAATATACAAACTACAACGGATTAATTTTGGATGATAATAAATATTTTGGAATTTCATTTGTATGGTATGTTTTAAATTGTTGGTGGATGTATGGTTGCAAAATTTTTGAAGGACCACTAGTGATGTTTTAAATTTTTGAGAGACTAATTTGGGGATCAAAATATTTGGAAAATTGATACAGTGATGTTTGTTTTATAGTAATGTTTTAATTTGGTAACTTTGGTCTTTGAAGGACCAATTTAAGAATTTATTCCATTTATTAAATATAAATTGGCTTTTCTGTTTAAGGTTATAAAAACTAATGTTGCACCAATAAACCGATTAGATAATGTTCTATTTTATAACCATCCACAATAAGATCTAACTAATGTGCAAAATGAACCTTAGGCGTTTATCAATTTTATTCTATAACCTGATAGCATTCTTATTTTATCTACAGCACAAAACAAGTTCTAATTCAATGTATGAAAACAAAAAATATAGACATTAAAGAACAGCTCGAATCAGCCAGTTGTATTTATCCTCCATGTCTTATAAGATCTTATTATGTCCTGAATAACAATAAAAAAAATGATTTGACTAAGTTCGGTACGTGTATATATATCCTCAGAGCAAAACATGTGAATTAACTCATATAAACACTATTTGTACCAATTTAATTAGTGCATTTTTTTTGTGGCGCGTAATTAAGGTTTGATGCCTTTTTGATTATATGCCTATATATGGCACTTCAATTTCTTAACCTTCTATAAATCGTCCAATAAATCCTTTTGTCTATGCATAATTAAAGTCTGAACCCCAACTTGTTATATAAAGGCAACTGAGTTCATGTTTGAGTCACCGTTTGTAAGATGATCCAACTACTAATACTGTTCATTAGCCATTTATTTTCTCTTTTTATTTTATTATATTTTAAACAGAATGCTCTGCTGGCAATTAGTGCTTGTATAAGATCTTTCTTTCTTTCAAATATTTGCTGGCAGTCTTACATTACAAGGACTTGACAGAGCATATTCAGTTAGGATTGAAGATGTTTAGTGCTGGACAACTATTTGTAGTTGGTTGATTGCATAATCGGGCCCCAAGAAACATTAGGCCTTATTTTATTGTAAAGTGGATCCTAAATTGAAAGTTAATATTCGAAAAAGGTTGAATATCCTAATGAAATGGTATCCCTAGAAGCTTTCATAGTTGCCACTCCATAATTAGAGGAAAGGGGTGTTTTATCTTTTTGTTGTCCATTCCCTTTTATACGTGGAGAGAAAGAATAGGCTATTTTCAGATTAATATAATCGGTTAAATATGTATAAATTCTGCTTTACCTGCATCAATTTCTCTTCCTCGATCCACTACAGGTTTTTTCAAGTATGGCATACACAAATTGATATTGCTATTATTTTTGTCAAATGATACTTCCCCCAATGTTATTTTTTACTAATTTAATTTGACTTTAACCGCGCAATTAATTTTGAATGAAGAAAAAAAAACTATGATGCTGATTGAGAGGAAAAAAAAACTAAAATAGTAAGAAATATTAAACAGCACGCCCAAGTTAAACAAGATAAACAAAGGAAAAACAAGACGAACTATCATATTGTTGGTAATATTTCAAATCACTAACCAAAATTGTACAAATTTTATTCGAAGAAAAAGAGTCACCGTGTTACATTTAATGTACAAAAATACCTTTAGTAAAATCAATAATCATTCAATAATAAAAAAACTGTTTTATGTACAAAAATACCATAGTATCATCGGGAGTTGTTTATAAGGATCTTAACTTCAAGAACTGTTTTTCTTTTCTTCTTTCTTTTAAGTAATTTCATTATTAGAGTAATAACGTAACAATTTTATATAAGAACTGTTATATTATCAATTCATTCTTAACCGTTCTTAAAATTACGAGACAATTATAAAATTCATTTTAAGTTCTAAAGAATTGTACCATTCGAAAGAAAATTCCGTATTATAAGATCTACAAAAAAATAAGTTAAACAACTTCACCATAGTTACACTATTGAAGATGCTATATGCAAACCAATATTTTATGAATATCATTTTAACTTTTGTTTTTCTCATTTAGATTCTCAAAAGTGCCGATGCACTTTTGTCCGATTGTTTACACAAAGCAACGATCATTGCTCGCGAGAAAAGAAAAAAAAAAAGAGCTTAATTGAAATACCACTCAACTGCAATCACATTATCAACAAACATTATTTCTGCCGAGAAAGAGATTGTTTTATCTAAAAGGAAGGCCACTTCATTACAATCTTCGTTGTTTTTTTTTTTTTACAATTCATAATCAATATAAAATATTTTTTGCACTCTGTGTTAACAGGCTACAAAATGATCCATGAATAAAAAAATGGCGAAATGAATAAAAAAAACGTTGCAAAATAATCTCTCAAACAATTATTATCATAAGCAAACTTTAAAAATGTAAGGTATGCGTGGCAGTAGTTAAACAAAAAATTATGTAAGAATTCCAAATAAAACGAGCTTCACTGTTAATATTGCGTATTTAGTTAAAATAAATAAATACTAGTCAAGAAAGGATAGTTCTAATAACGACAAATTTTATTTTTTGAATAACACATTATAAAGAGAACCATCTTAAATAAGAATTAGTCACTTGCCTGGCTAAGATTTAAAAAGTAGGTACAAACTAAAATTAACATTTTACCCGGTAAATCGCATGAGATAAAAAAGGAGAGGACAGGAATGATGGAAGAAAAACAAATTGGAAAAGAGAGAAGGAGAAAAAAAAAAATATGGTGAAATCGTAGTTTGATTTAAAACCAGAAATCAACGGTCCACATTGCATCTCGTGCTTGTTATATAGAATTCCAATTTTCCATTTAGACTTGGTCCCTCACACCCTCATTTCCTCCCTCATCACTAGCTTTGTGCATTTTTTTTTATCTCTCGCTCATTGCCTTCCATCACCCTCGCCATTTCCCTTCCCAAGGTCCGTTTCTATCCCTCGATCCGTTACTCTCTCTTGTGGATCTGTTTCCCTTTTCAATTTTCACCTTTCAATTTTTGTTTCTTTTCTCTATTAGAATGGGGGCGTTCTTCGTTTTCTTATAATTGGTTCTTGGGTAGCTGGATTTCAATCGGGTCGTTCTTCGATTTCGATTTGCTCCATTGGGTGTGAGAAAAATTTGTTTTTTGTTTCTTTTTTAAACTTTTTAGTTGGTGGGTTGGATTGTTGTTAGGTTTTTGGTTCTGTTGATGTTTCATTATGTTTCTTGCAGTTTTTTTTAATCTGGGTCGTTTTTAATTGGTCGATCTGGGTGTTGTTTATGGGAAGGGGATTTCTTTTGAAGAAAAGAACAATTTTGGTTGGTTTAATGTTTACGTCATGCGCCTTTGTTTTTGTGTTTTTGAGATTTGTGGCGGATGAAGATGGATCTGTCGTTGTTGAGCACGGTTCTTGTGAAAAGTTGTTTTCGGATGGGTTGGTAACGAATCTGAATTGTTGTTTGACGTTGGGAGGACAAAATGTTTTGTAGGAGTATACCTTTTGCCTTGATGCAATTAATTAGCGATGTTTAAATGTTGGTTAAGTGTGGTGAACCTCCCTCTCTCTCAAAATTGAAAGAAGAGATACCGAAAAGGAAATGTAATAATGCTTTGCTTGTGGACCCTTTCTTTGGATATTTACAACGTTTTGAGTGTTCCCTACCCTTCTAACAAGTAACAACCAACTATTATGGCTCACGGTGCTTGTCTAATCAACTTATTCTGTTGTCAACGTCTTTGCTTGTCTGAGGAATGTAGGATTTATGTGTGAATGTAAGATGTAGAAGTGGGTATGTGTATAGTATGTACTGTTATTTGGTTGTTACCATGTTGGAATACAATTATGCGTATCTTGCAATTCCAGATACAAGCTTCTTTTCTACGTTAAATATCTGTCTGTGATAGTTATTATGCCACGTTCCTTATTGTATATTGATCTGTTAAATTATATCATTATACCATTAATTGGTTTGCTACCTGATGCTTGTACAGAATATTCCCACCCCAGGATTACAAAAATTAAAACAAAATGAAGAACAAGGGAATGCATGAGACTTGAGCTTATATGTTTCTCCATTTTGTTTTGCATGTTTGTAATTGGTTAGCTTGCAGTTTGTCTGTCCTTGGACATCATTTCTGTTATAAGCTATAAGAAAGTAATTGTTTTGGCTAAATTATGATTAAACTATGATATCCTATCAATTTCTTGGTTTTGCAATATTTCTTTGTCACTTATTCATAGTATGCTATGGAAGTGGAGAAAAACAAGATTAGAGTAGGGATTTGCTCATTCAAGATTTCCCTTCCAATGTTTTGTTGGCTGTATTTACAGTAATAGTTCACTTCTACTGAGTATTCATCATGTTTCGTACAGTTAGTAGAAGATGGCAGACGCCGAGGATATTCAACCTCTTGTTTGTGACAATGGAACAGGAATGGTTAAGGTACATGGTTGGTCTTATTTTTGGGTATTAAATTTGTTTAATAATATAACTTACTGTCATGCTTTTGTTGGTTTTATGGGAATATCATTTTACATTTATGTTACTTCCGTGAATATGAGAAATTAATTGCAATCACTCTTTGTAGGCCGGATTTGCTGGAGATGATGCCCCACGTGCTGTGTTTCCCAGCATTGTTGGTCGTCCTCGTCACACAGGTGTGATGGTTGGCATGGGCCAAAAAGATGCATATGTTGGTGATGAGGCACAATCAAAGAGGGGTATTTTGACTCTCAAGTACCCTATTGAACATGGAATTGTGAGCAATTGGGATGATATGGAAAAGATTTGGCATCATACCTTCTATAATGAGCTTCGTGTTGCCCCAGAAGAGCATCCAGTTCTGTTAACAGAGGCTCCTCTTAACCCTAAGGCTAACCGTGAGAAAATGACCCAAATCATGTTTGAGACTTTTAACACCCCGGCCATGTATGTCGCCATCCAGGCCGTGCTTTCCCTGTATGCAAGTGGTCGTACAACTGGTAAGCTATTGTTGAATTGTTTGATTTCGTTCAGGTTGTATAGTTTGAACTTATCTGGGCCTTTGAAATTGAGATTAACAAATGTCAACATCCATGAGCATCTAGAAAGTGTGTATGTTCAATATTCCATTTGCAGATGCATTAGGGTAAACTGAAAATGATTCATTTGATAATGATTTCACTTGACATATCACTAAATGGGGAAATAACAAATTCTGTGAACTGGGATGCATTTGGAAATTGTGTTATATATCATGTGATTGCCTTTAAAATTTTATTGCCTTCTCTTTGCAGGTATTGTGTTGGATTCTGGTGATGGTGTCAGCCACACTGTCCCCATCTACGAGGGTTATGCTCTCCCACATGCCATCCTTCGTCTTGATCTTGCCGGTCGTGACCTCACTGATTTCTTGATGAAAATTTTGACTGAACGTGGGTATTCTTTCACCACCTCAGCCGAGCGGGAAATTGTAAGGGATGTGAAAGAAAAGCTGGCATACATTGCCCTTGACTATGAGCAAGAGCTGGAGACAGCCAGGACCAGCTCGTCTGTGGAGAAGAGCTACGAGTTGCCTGATGGGCAGGTCATCACTATCGGCGACGAGCGTTTCAGATGTCCCGAGGTTCTGTTCCAACCATCGATGATAGGAATGGAAGCTGCAGGCATTCACGAGACAACATACAACTCCATAATGAAGTGCGATGTTGATATCAGGAAGGATCTTTATGGTAACATTGTCCTTTCAGGAGGAACAACCATGTTCCCTGGCATTGCTGATAGAATGAGCAAGGAAATTTCTGCATTGGCACCAAGCAGCATGAAGATAAAGGTTGTTGCACCACCCGAGAGAAAGTACAGTGTCTGGATTGGTGGTTCTATCTTGGCATCTCTCAGCACCTTCCAGCAGGTTTGTTCTCTTCCTTCATTCTTCTGTTTCTTGGAATGTTAACTTATTGTGAGATGCATTGTTGTATGCTAACGACATAAACTGTTGTGTTTGAGGGCAGATGTGGATCGCAAAGGCAGAATATGATGAGTCCGGGCCATCAATTGTGCACAGAAAGTGCTTCTGAAGTGTTTTGAGAAATAGGTTTATGAAGGGAAAGACTACCATCATTATGATTTGTCTGAAGCAAAGCAATGTCAGATTGCAGATTATAAAGCAATGTCAGATTGCAGATTATAACCCTTTCGTTCTAGCTTTTGTTATCCGTTCTTGTTTTTCTCTTGTTGGAGTGATCATTTATTTGCAGGAAGTGAGGAGAGTTGTTTTTTCAAAATGGTCCAGTTCTTTTCATTGTACTCTGATAAGTTTTTGACTGGTTCATTCTGCCTATGAATTAGCTGGATTATCAAACTACGCGTGTACCCTTGGTAATTGGTATGCTTAATTTGATAGTTACTATAATCTTTCTTCCATTTAACTATCTTCAAACTAAAGACAATCGCACACTACTCGTACAACACAAGGAAACTAAGGTTTTTAGTCCCCTTAAAGCCAACTCCCAAAGTCACTCCATCCTTGGTAAGAGTGGGGAGGATGAACCCCACCATATCCTATTACCCTTAATTAACATTAAGCAATTTTAAAATTCTTGAAGTATATTTTCAGTATAAGTAGCATTATGATGTCCTTGAATTATCATCTGCACAAGAGATTTAATGAATCAAGTATCAATTTCATGATGTATTGTATTGGATGTACACTTGAAACAAAAGCTACTGGATGCTCTCTCAAACTAGTAATCATTCAACAATTTCTCCCTTTAAATATGAGAAGCAGACCCAAATTGTCCCAGTTGAGCGAATGGTTACAGCTTAATAAAGGGTTAAACATGGCCGCGTAGTTTAAAAGAAGTTTATGATGGGCATACATGGCTTCTTCGTTATAGCATCAACAATCTAACTGAGGACATGGATATCAACCAACTAGCAAATAGCAAGCCTAATTGCAAATAAGGGGAAATAATAAAACCTCCCAAACAGGCCCCTAATACACTGAAATCAGAATGGAACAAGCTGTATATGATATTAACGACGTGGAAAGCTGCATATGGAAATTGATTTCACATTTAACAAACTGAAATTTAAACCCAACACTTTGCATACAATAATACAGCTAAAATATTCGTACAGCTACCGCATATAATTGTACTTCATGTGAGAAATCAATTAGATGACGCTAGAATATTAGTGCAACCACTGCATAACGGGCCATTCATTGCAAAGCTAATATAACAATAACCAATTATTGGTTGTCACCCTCTAAGTCATGAAGTTGCGATCTAAAAGGCAAAATTTAGAAACAATTCAATAGAGACTTATGGGGATCTTTTCAATTCAAATTAGAGTTATATCTTAATAGTCTATATTGATACAATGATACTTAATACAAGTCTTTTATTACGTGAATTATAGAGATACGTAAAACACCAATTTTTTTTTTGAAAAATAACAAAAGCTTAAAGACTTATATATAAATTTTGTCTGAAATTCAACCATACTTAAAAACAACTCAAGTCACTAACATGTTAATTTCCACTTTACAGTATATTTAGAAAAGTGTATCTAAGAGTATGTCTTAACACTCCTCTGGACTCAAATACAAATCATATAATAAGAGAGGTATGGTCATTTATTTATAAGCTTGATCTTCCCTAAATATTTTTAAATTCATCTAGCAATTACATCTAGATATCTCTTCATTTAGCAGATGACTTAATTTTACAATTTACTCACTTTTTAGGAATGGTACACAGTGCATTAGGAATATATTATAATACTAAGAAATCTGTGGCTCACAAATCACTTGTTTCATATGTAGAGAGGTAGGACATATTTATAAGCTCAATCTTACTTCTTTCCGTAGTTTAAGATTCTTCTAGCAATTACATCTAGATATTTTTTAACTTGGGAGATAACCTAGTTTTACAAATTACTTATTTTTTAAGGCATTCTACATAAAACAGTATGCTTGAATTCGGAATGTATCTTCTGGTACAAGGTCCAAATATGTATGTCAATTCCTTCTTTAAATTGGCATTAGAACAGAACTACAAAGCAGTGAATTAAAGATGTGACATAAAACGCCAACCTCCTAAACAACTAACCAATCTTGTCAATGGGCTTGACCTTTTCAAAGATGCTCTTAAGCTCTTTCATACAATCCTCTAACACAACTATATCATCCTCTTGGTTATTACCCTCAAGCAAATTTGTGGCCCTAGTAATTGCAGAACTGATATGGCCCTTCAAAGCATTATTGATCAAGTAAACATAATCTTCCAAAGCGTTCATTATGTTGGCCTTCTTATCTTCAGCCTCGTATTTCTCTGCTTCATGGATAATTCTCTTGATTTCTTTTGCTGATAGTCTTCCTTGATCATTGGTTATGGTAATCTGGTTCTTATTGCCAGTGGTTCTTTCCTCAGCAGAAACAGATAAGATACCATTTGCATCTATAGCAAAGCACACATCAAAAGGATGGTAACGAGGAGCTGGAAGGCCACAAAGATTAAAGGAACCAAGAAAATTGTTATCACTGACTCTTGTTCTCTCACCCTCATAAACTCTAATCGTGACATATGATGCATGATTTACTGGTGTGCAGTATACCCGTGTCTTCTTTACAGGAATGCTAGTGTTCCTAGGAATCACCACACTCATGATTTTATCTACATTTGCGGATATACCAAGGGACAGTGGTGTAACATCCAATAGCACAAAATCTGGAACATTCTTAATGCCTTCACTCAACAAAGCAGCATGTACAGCTGCACCACAAGCAACAGCTTCATCAGGGTTGATGCTCTTGCACAAATCCTTCCCATTGAAAAAGTTCTGCAATAGCTGCTGAACTTTGGGAATCCTAGAAGAGCCACCAACAAGAACAACATTATCTACACTGCTCTTGTCCATATTAGCATCACTAAGACACTTTTCTACTATCTTCATACACTCTTCAAAGAGCTCCGTATTCAGTGTGTCAAATCTTGCTCGAGTGATTGAAGAAGAGAAGTCAATGCCCTGAACCAAAGCATCTACCTCAATGGTGGTAGTCACTCCATACGAGAGTGTCCTTTTCGCCCTTTCACACGCAGTTCTCAATCTCCTTAGGGCTCTTAGGTTTCTACTAATGTCCACTTTGTTCTTCCTTTTGATCTCCTCTACAAAGTAATTCACCATTCTGTTGTCAAAGTCCTCTCCCCCAAGATGAGTGTTTCCAGCAGTGGCCTTAACTTGGAACACCTTACCCTTAATTGTGAGGAGAGACACATCCAAAGTACCACCACCGAGGTCAAAGATGAAAACGTTTCGCTCTGCAACACAATAAGTTATCTTGTCCATGCCAAATGCAACAGCTGCAGCGGTAGGTTCATTGATTATCCGCATAACATTGAGGCCAGCGATGGTTCCAGCATCAATAGTTGCTTTACGCTGAGAGTCATTGAAATAAGCAGGCACAGTAACAACTGCATTCTTCACAGGTTTTTCCAAATACGCTTCTGCAATCTCCCGCATCTTCACAAGGACCATGGATGATACTTCCTCGGCACAAAGCTGTTTCTCCTCACCCTTGTAATTAACTACGATCATAGGTTTATCATCAGTACCAGCAACTACCTTGAATGGCCACAACATTTTATCTTTTTGAACAATGTCATCACTATATTTCCTACCAATCAACCTCTTAGCATCTGCAAAAATCATAAAAACACTAGTCCTTCATTAATTTGTCCTACTAGAAGTCATAAAAAGAAAGACATTAGTAGTTCAGAGAGTAGAAAGTATACCAAAAATAGTGTTATTTGGGTTGTTGACAACCTGATTCTTAGCAGCATCACCAATCAACCTCTGATTGTCTGTGAAAGCGACAACAGAAGGTGTGGTTCTGTTACCTTGTTCGTTGTTCATTATTTCTACTCTATTATGTTGCTGCTGCCACACTGCAACACACGAGTAGGTTGTGCCAAGGTCGATTCCTATGGCAATTCCCTCATCTTTTGCCATTCACTTTCAAGTTAATGAAGTCTACGATTCACAGAAATTGAATTCAGGCTTTGAAAGACTTCAACAACTTGATTGAAAATAACTTGACGCACTAAACTACTCCATCAAATTAAATTAGTACTCATGCCTAGTCATCGGAAATCACAATTTAATTATTCCCATTATAACAGTGTCTCTTCCTTCATCTCGAAGAATGCTAAAAGATTTAAAGCCTTCAAGTGATAGTGTGATACGGAGTATAAGTTACTTTACAGGGAGTATAAAGTAATCTTAGGGGGTATTGGATTAGGATTTTAAAGGACTTTTTTAGTTAAAAAAAATCCTGTGGATTTTAAAAGACTTTGCAGGATTTTCATGACTTTTAAGATTTTGCAGGATTTTATAAGACTTAAAATCAGGATTTTAATGGATTCTGCAAGACTTTTAAATCAAGATTTTAATGGATTTTGTGGGATTTTGTAGAATTTTCGTGGATTTTTTATATTTGATAAGATTTCAAAAAAAATTTCATACATTCAAATTTAAAAAGAGTCAAAGACAAAAATAATAAAAAAATAATAATATCTAGATAAATAATAATAATAATAATAATTCTCCATAATATTCTATCCTCTTAAATAACATTCACCCACATATTCATAGTTATACTAGTCCTTCAAACATTAGTGTCTTTTTGCTCTTGCTCCTGGGTTTGAATAATAGGCTCAAAAATATGATCTTCATTAACTGGTAACATTGAAGATGAAGGTTCATCCACCGCTTCAATTAGAAATTCATCGGAACGAAATTCTTTACGTAGAAAGTTATGTAGTGCTGCACATACTAACACAAGTTCTACTTGTGTCTTAAATAAAAATGAAGGTGCTGACTTAAAAATTGTGAACCTTGATTTAAAAATACCAAATATTCTCTCGATCACATTCATTAAAGACGCATGACGAAGATTGAACAATTCTTTCTCATTTTCAGGGTCATTACCCTAACCTGCAAAATCTTGTAGATAATATCTTACACCTCGAAATGGAGCTAAAAATTGGCGTTGATTAGGAAATCCACAATCCACCAAAAAATATTTACCTAATTACATATGCAATATATATAATATTAGTATAATAATAATTATCATTATAATAATTATTATTATTTAAATAATAAGAATTTAGATATAGAGAATATATATATTATTTTAGTTATATATTTTTAACGATATTTATAAATGTAAATTATTCTAACAAATATTTTAACAATATTTCTTTTTTTTTTTAAAATAAGCTAATGAAGGCATAAATCCTAAACCTTAAAAAATTAGATACTACAATGTCTTATGTTAATTTTCTTTTTTTAAAATATAAAAAAGTCCTAATTTCACAATATAAAAAAATCATAGTAAAAAAAATAAAATAATTGTTGAGTTATAAAAGGAGGAGGGATAAGAGTAACAAACTTAAGAGAAGGAGAGAGATCGCAGTTTTTATGCTGAGAGGGTTCTTTTCCCAACTAAGATCCATTTTCATCTCATTCTATTCACAGAAACCCTAACAAAATCATCTTATATATATATATATATATATTGTAGAAATTATGATATCAATTTCATATTTCACTTTTTTTCTTTTCTTAACGTTTGTTATAAAAAAAATTACCACTCAAAGTTGAAATTTCAAGCATTTTTTGTGTTATATACAGGAACAAATTCAACTACATAGAATAAAATAAAGCATGTCAATTAAAGAGAACGAACAGAAAAATAGAGCAAGTCAATGACACTATCATTTACATATCAGTGTTTCACAAAATAGGAAAATAGGATGAGAACAGTATTACAATATTATATATGAGCAATGAACAATAATGCAGTATTATTAGCAGAGAAAAAATGGAGAAGACAAAAGCATAGGAAAAAAAAGATGAAAAACTCACTTGAAAATTCTTGAAAAGTCACTTCAAACAATCCTTCAAAATCCGATGGGTTTGGATGAGATTGTTTTATGAATTTAGTATTTATAGATAACACTAGAAAGTCCTTCAAAATCCCTCTCACATAACAATCTTTTAAAATCCTTATATTTTTGAATACCAATGGATTGTTTTTAAGTTGTAAAAAATCTCAAATGAATACCAATAGATTTTAATAGACTCTTTAAAAAATCTTGAAAATCCAGATTGAATACCACGAGATTGTTTTTAAGTGACATAAAATCCTGATTGAATACCAATGGACTTTTTTACTCAAAAAAAGTCTTTTAAAATCTTACGAAATCCTAAACCAATACACCCCCTTAATTACACCGACTTGGGAAAATGATGACCCAATTACTAATCAAATGAGGAAATGGATTTAGAATAGAATCGTCAATCGTCATCCACAGTTTGTTACTGTATTGTTAAATGCGAAATAAGGTCAATACATAATACTAGTATTAGCCATAAAACTTAAGTGGGATTAATTTAGAAAGGATGGTGATTGTCATTTTATGAAATTAATAAGGATATATTGAGGAGAAAATTAAAATAATCATAAAAGATTTGATATTCAAATAAAAATGAATAAAGTCATCATGTCTTGTAGAAAAAGAAAAAAAAAATAGTAAGTTATACTTTAGTCTATTTTAGTCTATGAAAGAGATGTTTAAACAACAATTATATTTTATGTGTTAGTGATAAACTAGTCTTTTGAAGTGCTGAAATTTATTTAAAAAATTGATTTTTTCGAATAAATATTCTTTCATATATACAAATCAAACTCATGTATATATGCTTAAGAAACAATATTATGTATCAAGTATGTTACCCTTTGTTAGGGTAGTAAAATGTGAATTATAGGTTTTGTTAGCATATTACAATGTTACACAATGGATCACAAATCATATTATAACATAACTGGTATTATTTGTACATATTTATACACCCTTGCTTTGATTCTACGTTGTCCATAAGCCCCCTCATCCCAAAACCTACACGCAGTTCAATCAAGTGCTATATTATGTAAATTATTATTACTTCTAATTACACAGTAAGCAGGGATGCTGTTGTCAGTTTCTCTTGATCAATAAACGGGTGATTTTCTTCTGTGTCTTCTTCCGAATTTGAATAATATTTATGCTTTAGGAGCTTTGAATTGTCCACGTCTTCAAGAATTTGTTGCTCTCTTTCATTTCCATTCGCAGTACTGAGTTTCTTTCCCAAGCTTGTGAAATCATATTCTTCACATTGGCGATGATCATAGTAAGAATTACATCTCCCATAAATCTTAGAAGGTAAGTCACTTAACCTTTCATCTATTGCTGAGCTTCGTTGGTGAAAACTTCCAAAACCTTTGATTGCATGAGAAAGATTACGTGCTTTTGCCCTTTCTTCTCTGAGAAAATCCTTGTTTCTTAAGAGCTTTAATATTCTCTCTGATAATTTTCTAACACTCAAACCCCAGTTGAACCTGTAAAATCAAATGATGTAACAATGGTCATCACTTGATTCATGCAACAAAGTTTTGGTGACAAAAAATATGAGAGTTGAAAAATCACCAACCCTTTCTCATCAATGTGCTGAAATTGTCCAGTCTCTTCAATAACATCTATATCACATTGAAACTCCTCGGATACTCTTTTAGGTCCATGAGTTAGAAGATGTTCCAGTAAAATAAGAGCCTTGTATGAGGCTCTCCAATACCCTTTATCAAATTTCGACAACCTGTTTTCTCCACAAAAGTAGAACACAATTATTTCACTTCATGAAAAGAGTTTTTGGGATCAGAACATTATAACCAAATTAGGACAGAAGATGGGTCTAGTGGTAGAGATTCAGATAATATCTATCAGGTACTAGGTTTGAACTTTATTATGTCATTTTGATTCCTATTGATAAAAAAAAATCAGGACATAAAAAAAAAAAAACCGAAACCTGTGATGCAAAATCTCCACGATTCTCTCATATTCATCCACTTCAAAGGCAGCTCGTGATATTATACTCGTGGTACGTGTGTCTGGTGGCCATGGATTCTCATTTGTGGCTTCTTCTGTCATTCTTAAGCACCAGTCACACAAAGAAAAAAGCATTGTCAAACATGTAAAAAAATCTAAGTATTTGATTATACCAAAAACGAATAAAATGATTACACAAAATAGATTATAAATTATTAAATGTATGACATTTCTACCAAATAGTTTCACATGTTTTAACCAATGATATTGTGGTAATAAAAGGTTTCTTAAGAATTAACTACAGCAAAGTGAGTTATATCATTCCTTGTCAAAAGAATTTCATACTATTCTTGTTATCCTGTGAGAAGGATTTTATACTATTTTTTTTTTTTTTTTTAAATAAACCATATAACTTAAAACATGCGTGATTTAGTTCCATGACAAAAGAACTTCATAGTTTTACAGCTATCCTCTTGGGGGAAGGATTTCTTTTTTATTTTCAAATAATCAATAACATAAAGCATGATTGAATTGATATATGAGAGGTTAAAAAGAAAAAAAGAAACAAGACTTACAATTGAACTGGTGTAACATCTGTGAGCACAAGCCTTGCAGTTTTAATCTTCTCCTTCAAGAACCGAAATGCTTGCCCTTTGATTTCATGGATGAGAGGAGAGCTCATATTTGCAGTCTTCTTTGGAAGAATTGAGGATAGTGGTAAGGAAGACTTTGAAGACTAGTTTTATTATATAATCTATAATTTCCGTAACTGTGTACGTAACATATGCAACTGCTCCATTACCAAAAGCACTAATATTTTTCATAAAGTGGAGTTGCATATGTAATGAGAGGTAGAATAACTGAATAAGCCTAACTTGTGAGTAGGAAAGGATCAGAATAATGTAAGCATGATAATTCAAAGGCAAGTTTTGCTGAAGCGTCTTTGTCTTTAAGTTCATGTCGTTTAGAAGAGTGCCTTAAAATACTCATTGATGGATGGACAAAGAATTTTTTGACCCGGTGAACTTATAAAATACTGTTGATCAAGTCCTCAATCTATGGTTGACAAGCATAGTTGAAAATCTGCTTGATCTATACATAAAACTAGTGTGTACGGTTGAGTGTAGAAACTTCTGATTATGTGGAATTTCTAAAATTATTGCTGTTTACTTTCTTTTTTGAGTTTTTTTTTTTGTTTTTCATAAAATGTCCCAACATTCTATTATTAGGTGAAATTTATTTCAGTGTCATCATGTGCCTGTTTGAATGAAAGAAACTCAGATCCTTTAAATACTTGGTCTTGAATTAGATCTAGATTCATGTTTACCCAAGACTTATTGAGAATTTTTAATTATCACGAAAGAAATAAGATTAATAAGTTAAAGGTCATACGATCATTTTAAAAAAAGTTATATTTATCTATTTTATTTTAATTATTTAAATATAATTGAATGTTCTATATTTATTTATTTTATTCCTCACAAGAGTTATTTGATAAACTTATATGTAAAAAAAATACTATTAGAAAGAATATATACTCTAAGTCTCTAACACCTAACCGTATCTCACAAGATAAATCTCTCACTAGGTAGAAAAAGTATTCCAGAAATTTTTTTTTTTACCTCATTTAACAAATTTTCGATAAATTTCATCCCATAATTAAAAATTGTACTTCCCCTTGTAGGGTATATTACTTTAACTCTTACTACTATACTGATTCTGATTCTAGTAGTTTATATAATAAAACTTTAAATTAAATAATAAAAATTACTACTATATTTATTATATCTTTCACTTCTCTCCTGGTATCTCTCATTAGGTATATATGATTTTTTCTCTCTATTGTATATTTATTTTTACGCAAATTTTATAGATATTATTGTCAAGTGATAAGTGTAAGAGGAGTCAGAATTGGGCGAAAAGAATGGGTGAAATGTAAGTTTAAGTAATACGGGATTACACAACAAAGTCAAGCTATCAAACAATGTTGTGGATGTTTATGGAAAAAGCTAAGTACACCCTACTACTTTTGGGGGCATATGGATGGAACTAAGAGAGATAAATGGAAAGCAATAAATGTGATAAATAATATAATGAAAAACAGAGACGTAAGAAAAATATGAAGTAACAGCAAGAACAAATATATATAATTATGACTCCATGTTTATTTCCACGTTTGATTGGCAAAGGATGTGAAAGCTATATTTTGTTAGATTGGCAATGCCAATGGATGTGGAAACTGCAACTTGTAGCATCAGGTTAAACGCATGTATAGTGCCCCTACAACGTGAAACAACACAGCAGTCATCGTATTATACAGTGCGCAACCCAAAAAATGAACAAGGGTTTCAGCTTCTCGTTTTATGGGAACAATACACAGCTTGCAAACACAATCTACAGCAGCCATCAACAAAATGCCAATATTTGATAACGTCTTGCAAATGGGACGAGAGGAATAAAAATTATCTATAGAAAATTTTGATCAAGAAAAATACAAAGCAAAGTGATTGATTAGAAACTATTCCCAGCCAAGAGTAACAACATAATTTGTTGAATATATTTTTACCTATAAATAGCAATACTAAAAAAAAGACAAAAGCCTCCATGATCCCAAACTGAATGGCGTAATCCGGAAGGTTATGGTTAGTCCTACAAACTTTAAATATTGCATTATTGTCCCTTAAGCCTGGCATGAGAGTATATGTTCTCGTATAAGAGGTGAATCTTTTGATAGGGAAAATGCCCCTCTTCTTCCCAGCTAAGTTGATCATCAAAGCTCAGGTAGAATTAGAAACTCTCCACATACCAGTCCTGTACCCCACGGACATGAGCACAAGCTCCCAAAGCATGTTAGGTATACTCAGAAGATTCACCTTAGATCCTGGAATCTCAGACCAATTCACAGAAATTTCTGAAACGGGGATCCTAAACCATTTGCACAGAAAGACTAATTCAACATCAAAGCACCACCTGCAGAGAATGGCAAAGGCTATTACAGAATTTTTTTCACCATATATATGTGGGCCATAAAATATCTTTAGTCTCGTAGTTTATTAATACAAGTATAACTATATATTTTGACCCCTTTCCTACAAGTTTTTGGAATCCGTTCCTGAAAATTATATCAAAGATGTAAAGATTGTACAAAAAATTTATTAATAAAAATTAAGAACTTTTTTTCAATTATTTCTGAATAATGAAGTAATTCGCTTCCAAAATTTAAGAAATTATTGCATTCTATAAGAGCATAACCTTTTTAATCGCACATTTGAAAAAAGCTTCCTGGCTGCAGCCCTAGTAAACATCTTGAAACCACACTGTAAAAGTACAAGGTCAATATCAGACAGAAATAAAACCAACATAAAAAATACATGCTCAAGCACAAGCATTGCAGAAGCAGAGAAGTACTGAAAAGTGAAAAGACAATCATGCTAATGTTAACAGGCTTTCATGACACAACTACCACATCTAGTGAACTTAAGTCACTATGTACACATAAGCTGTATACCGGTCATGAGAGTAACAATCAAAATGCTGAAAATAAATGAACTAGGAGATTGCCTGTGTATCACGAATTCCCGGCCCAGCAGCCATGAGAACCACAAGATGGAAGCCCTTCATCAAAAAATTGCGGTACCACTTCCTCTGAAAGCATTAATCCATGTTATTCAACCAAGATGATCTACACATAAATGGCAACAATAAAACAAAGCATGAAGAAGATCACACTTAACTGTAGCTAAAGCTTTCTCCTCTAGATGAGCTCTTGAACCAAATACAGCAACAGGAATATCAGATATTCTAAATCTGGGATCACTATCACCAGAATCTCCTTGGTGATATTCCCTTTTGGCAACAGCTTGAATCTAACAGCAGAACATAGGCAATGCATGTCACATTTAGCACCAGAAATTTAAACTAAGATTTAATCATAAGATCTACAAAAACTGCCACCAAAGCATTCTATTAACCTGATTTTCAAGCTTTTCTAGGTCAGTGACCTTAGTAGCTCCATCAGCATCAAGCATAAGAAGTAGTTCACCACGTGAATGCAACATTCCCTGTAATACAATGCTTTCAAGGAAAGAAGAAAGCCTTAATTAATTATCAACAAGCATAGTATGATACAGGGGCATTCAACATGAGTAGATTTGAACACATTATAGTTTAAATTAGACTCACTTTTCTGATTGCTTCTCCTTTGCCATGATTTCTTCCTAGAAGGATGACCCTTACCTTGTCTACTGTGTATTTCCTTACAAATTCAAAAGCTACTTTTTTTGTCTCATCAGCACTTCCATCATCAATAATTAAAACCTGCACAAGTTCCATTGATAAGAGAATGAAGAAGTGTAGCCACAGAAAGTTACAAATGCATATGGAAGAAAGTTGAGCAAAGAGATTCAGATATGCTATGTTAGACCAAACTGACTTCACATTAGTAAAGCTCATGAGTGAAATAATGCCTTTTCTATATATGTCTACCAAAAACTGTCAGAGTAAAATAGAATTTTTCTTTACAATTCTAAATCAATATTAATATTCTCATGACGATAAGCTAGAATCTAAAACAGAGTCCCAAGAGAATGGAAGTAAAATTGGGTTATATAGATAAAAATCACATGCATCAAATAAAAGGAACTAGAAGTACCTCATATGAAAATGAAGGATCCTTTGAAGAGCGTTGTTGAAGATAACTACAAATTAAGGCATAAATTAAATTATGCTCATAATACCAACCTTAAACAATAAACGCTACACTAATTTACAAGAGCAACGGTTAAGTAACTAGTTTTACTACCACTACTCTTCTACACATATGAAGTCCTACTATTCAAAATTTCAAATAAATGGTACCATGAACAAAGTGTGTACAAAATAAGGGTGTTTTGACTTTTTCTTTAGATTTTAAAATCTATTTTATAAAACTTTAAAAACTAATTCTTAAAGGAAGAAAATCAGAACAACTAAAAAATGTTCTAGATTTTTATTTTAAAAACAGTTTTCAAAATCTACTTAATCAAACAAGTTTTCTTTTAATAGAAAACAGTTTAAGTTTACAAGAACAGGAAACAAACAGGCCCTAAATGCTTCTAATACATAGAAGTTTGGATTCTTAATGTGATTTTTTCTTCTCTCTTTGGGAAAGTTGAGGTTAAATATGTTAATATATCAAATGGCATCTGTCATGTATACAAAGACCTAACAAAACTAATCAATACACACACATACAGAGAGTTGGTTGGTGATTCTGACAATGGGCAAAATGAGAAGTGGATCAACCCATGAACCAGGTGCTGGACCCAAGTCCTAGGACACCCACTGTATGGAAAGTATATTTCAGAAGAAAGAAGCCAAGGGCTGTTAGGAGTTAGTTGGGCGATGGCAGTTAGTCACTGCAAGTGAGGGGGTGATTTAGCAGGAGGATAGACTGTGCATGGAGATTGGAGGCATGTTTTCGGTGAGTGTCAGTTAGGCAGTGCATGGATCCTTCCCTGAGGAGTGATGGAACCTGGTCCTCCATCAAGGAGCCAGAGAATCCAGAGTGTGGCAATGTGCTCATCATTGATCATTCTGTAAAAGAACTTTTAGTTTTCTATGATTGAATAATACAGTAATACCAGCATAGTTTTCCAGGTGCTTTGATCATCCTCTAGTGCTCTAACAGATGCAAACACAGAATATAAAATTCTGAAGAAAGTAGTCAAGTACACTCATTGCAATTGATGATAGACACAACAAAAACTACATAACAGAAAAAACCAAAGTAGGCTGATTCAGTTGTAACCGAACCCAAATCCTTTTATTAATATAAACATTGAAAGCCTAACTACATAATAAAAGAGTGCACTTTCACTTACTTCATTGTTTCCTCAAGAGCTCCCGGAAGCCTGTGCTCCTCATTGAATGCAGGAATAATCAAAGAAATATACTTTGTGGCTGGATCAACAATATGTGGGCAAGGAACCTAAATATGCAAGAGTATCAACCAAAACAAATTAATTTAATAATAAGGAGCAACCTTCATAAGCTACATGTTAACTTGAAACCTCTTAAAACAAATTAAAAACGTGTGTGCATGAGACAAATATAAGTAACTGAAATTGAATTTCTATTTAGTTTATTCAAGAACTCATCAATATACACAATGAAGGTCAAATAAAAGAATATCAGAGCATTATATGCTGAAAATTCGGCACAAGGTATCCAATGATGTATATCAAATCCACTTGTGATGACAAATGCTTCCTCTTGAAATTGGCATGAAGATGCATATCAAGTTAATAAGTACAAATTAATCATTGCCTCTAAGTTTCAAACATGGTCACCCATTCCATCATATATCATTCTCATGAAGCATAACTTTTTACTGTTTTATGAGACTTTTTCTTTTATATCTTAGGATTCTGAGTCCATCTACTATGAACTTGTACAAATAGGAAAACACTACAAAATGGCCAAACTTATATTTCCATTAAATTTCTCTCACTTCATGGTCTTATCATTAGTTTCTACAATATATGTTTAATTCTGTGGTTATCTTACAGAAAGAAACATACGCTAAAAATTGTTTCCTCCATATCTGCTATCTTCAAGTTGTAAAATTTTCCTAAACCCTTGCAGCAACAAAGTCACAATTTTGCATCACCAAATTCACTTGCCAATCCTTTGGAAGAAAAAGAAAATAAAAAAAGGTTGAAAAGTGGACTCCAAAAGTCAGTCAATCCAGACTTATTTCACTAAATTAGACTTCTTAAAGAATGCCCCAAACTGAGTAATTAAATAAAGAGTGCTCACAAAATCTTGCATGTCTACAGAAGCTCCAACACAATGCAAAGGGAAAATTTTACCTGTTTCAATGAGCTAGGATCCTCGAAAATAGCCGGAACTTCAATATGCCTTTTGAAATTCAAAAATGGAAATATCAAACTAATAACCCCACTCCATATAAATATAACATTTCAAAGCATATATCAGATGAGTAAAAATAAGGACATACTCATGGTTGTTTCTTCTCTTATATGCTTCAAAGAAGACTACAAAAGCAAGCCCTAAGACCGCAATCGCAGTGAAGGTGACAAAAAGACACACAAACTCCATTCTTATTCAGATGCCGCAGCTATTGCCAGTTCCTTGCCCCTGTCATGAAGGACATAGAATTTGCATACATTGTTCACATCAAACAACACATAGAAGAAATTGAATCGTGCAATTCAAAATACACACAAAATTCAAAACAAGTGATTTTTTTTTTTTGGACAAATTCAAAACATTGATTTCATCATCATCGAGGACTACAGAAAATTCCTCACCATTGATTGATTTTGCATAAGGAAAGGCATTATGACTGGAAGCAAAAACTAAATTTGAAGAAGCAGCGGTGGTCATAACAGAGTCAAAGCATATCGATTATTAATTTTCGAAATATATTTATTAAAAGTATAGTAAAGGAAGAAATGGAGAATACTGAATCGAAGATTCAAAGAAAAAGAACATAAGGATGAGATGCGAAAGATGGTTTCGAAGAATTACCAGATTGACCTGAATGAAGAGAGAGACAGAGACAGAGAAGAGAACGCTCAACGTCGTCGATCGAGACTTCAACCCGACCAAACGCACCGTTACTCAGTTCTCGTTTACCCGATTTGTTTTATTTTTTGCTTTATATGCGGGCCTGAGATACAAAGCCGCAAATGAGAACAAGGCCCAAACCAATAAGCCTAACTTGGGCTGTAATATTAATGGGCTTTTATGACAAGTCCAACTTAGCCACCAATAAGCTTTAATGGGTCTATTTAGTTTATAGAATGGATTGGATTTTGATTAAAGTTATTGTTCCACTAAAAAAGTTAGACTATTTTTCTAAATAAATAATATAAAAAAAATTATTTCAGCGAAATTAAACCTCGTTTCATTGTACTTGTCCCACGTAAGTACCACCCACTCACATCCATAGAGAAGCCAACATGGTCGTATATTCGGTGGCCGACAAAGACTAGACTTAAATGATCAACTTTTGAAAAGTGAATAAATAAGTTTATCTGCATTCTGTTTAAATTTATATAAAGACAATGCAATAATATGATTTGGAGTTCGTTTAGGTGTAATCAGCCCAATTTAATACCTTATGTAGATATAATTATTGAAATATAATTTCTAAACTCACATTTTCTTATTTCTACATTAAATGATTATTTTATTTTAAATTTAATTATAATTCATATTTTAACATGTGTAAGTGCAATCTACATAAATATAAATAAATACAAAGTTTAAATATATAAATTATATTTTAGATTATAATAAATAATTTATATTGTATTATAAATTTTTTATTTATAATGTATTTTTAAAATATTAAATTAAATTTATAAATAATTATAATAAATAAAAATTAAATTAAATATAAACTTAAAACTCTTAAAAAAAAACTTTCTCTTCAAAATACTGTCGCACAAAATAATTATTCAAATTTTATACACAAGTGGGTTGATTTTAGTCTTTTCACTTTATTTTATGTATGATTTTTGTTTCCCTTTGAATTATTTCCACTTAGTTTTCATAATTATCTAATTGCTCAAATAAAGCAAGAGTGTGTTCGTCTCGGTGATAGATCCCATAGAAAAATCGTGATGTCCTTAAAACTATTATGAGATCGTAGAAAAAAGGATTGTACCACCATTGTTTCACCGTGCACCCAAATATACTTTAGATATTTTATCCTAAAATTAATTCAATAATTAACAATGATGCAGTGGAAGTCTGGAAGTGTAGTATATCATTGATGTATATAGATTTGCAAAAGAAAAAAAAATGTATCAGATGTTTAAATGAAAATAAGAAAAAAAAACTAATTCAATTTAAATACACTAATAATATTAAAAAAATGATTTTCATTACACTTTATTCATTTTTTAATATTTATTTTAATACTTCCCTCAAAAAAATATTTGTTTTAATACTGTTTTTATTTTTATTAATTTGTACACGAGATCATAGATTACATGAAGTTATAGGTTTAAATCTTTATTGTATCTATTAAATTTTTTTAAAAAAATTATACAAATCAGTTATTTTTCTTTTTTGTTAATGTTCTAAGATTTCATTTTAAATTAATCTGATTTGATCAGAAAATAAGTAAAGTTTGACTAAAGAATTGTTTCTGTCAAAAATTAAATTTGAGCACTATTTAAATGATTTTACTTTGGATTTAGCACATTAACCACTTGTGCCTTGGTTTAAACAAATCAAATTAATTATATATAACACCTTTATTGAATATGATTTTTATTATATTTTTGTGAATTATTTAATAGAATTTTAAGGAAAGAATTTTGATTTGAATAATTAAAAACCATGATTATTAAATGTGAAGAATTAAATTAAAAATAATAAAGTTGCATGTAAACTAAGTTATGCAATTGGGTGTACAACTGTGTTATGTACTCATAGATAATTTTGTTGTCTAAAGTGGTCTTATTTGATTTGAATAATATTATATCCAGTAAAAGAATATCAATGATCTAGAAAAAAAAGCTAAAATACAAGAATTAAAAATATAAATAAGCCTTTTTACCAGCACTCTGGCCACAATTGTGTCAATAGTTCTTTTTTTCCTGCTATGTATTTGAATACTTATTATTATTGAAAAATGCTAACAAATAATAACAAACTTTCTTAAACATTTTTTAATCTACATATATTATTAATACATTATGATAGACTTAATAACCAAGAATTAATTTGAACTTATAGAATTTAATTTTTGTCAATCAAATATTATTTTAACACTACTAAAAATTAATCTTAAAAATACCAGATAGAACTTTTGAGTCTTAAAACAAATCTTACCATCACTAGATTAAAAGATTTAGTTCCAACACATTATTTTTAATTAACATGTTATTTTTTATCGATTAAAATTTATTAAAAATATAAATTAAGAAAAAATCATCAAATAAATTGTGAGACGCATATAATTTTGTAATTTATAATAAAAATGAATCAATAAAAAAGTGTGTTAAAAAGAATGTAATAAACAAGTGTATTCTCCGTATTTATCCGTTAGCACAAACTAAGTGGTCATACTACACTCATGCATGATACACCATGTCTAGCGTGGAACACATATCATGAGTTCCAAAGCTGAAAATGTTTCCATTTCCACGAAGCACCTACAACAAAACAAAGGGCAAAAAACCATCTCCTCTCTTATCAAATTGGACCTTCCAACATGTGACACTCGATAATGCGTACTAGCTACTGCTGGCACCACCTACAGGCCTACACATTTATTGACTCAATAGTCAATACTGCTTCAATCTCAAAGGATTCATGACCCCCCAACCCCATTAAAAATTTTATGAACACACATAACATGAATCATTAAAGGTAAAGGATTTGTGCTTGCATCTGCAATCTTCAACCATGACAGACACAAATGTCCATTATTCTTGTGAAGATTAAAGTAAGGTGGCCTGGACATGGGTCCTTCCATGCCATGATTAAAGCCACAGGTGGGCACAGGAGAAAAATAAATGTGCTCTCTTTCCTTTTTTTTCCCCCTTCACTTTTCTAAACTTTACGGAGAGGGAAAGGTTGCCCTATTGTTCCTTCTCCAAGGATCCTATCTTCACTATTCTACTCAACTAGACATTAATATTTTACCATATTCACATCTCTTTTTTTTATAAAGAAAATTATTCTTTACCCAATATTTTAAATTATTAAAATTTATTTAAAGAGTTAATCTCAATTAATTAATGTTTTTTATTCATATGGATCAAGAATTGAACTCTTATACTTAAAAAAATGTTATTTACCAACCGTATAAATAAAGTAAATATATTCAAATCCACTTATTGACGAAGGATAATTTAATCCCCATAATTCATAGACCTAGCCACATTTATTCTTCCAATATTTTTCCAAAAGTATATATTATATGCAGGGTTCTGTTAAAAATTTCAGGATTATTTGGCATTTTTCTACTTACGGAATATTTTTGTAATATTAAGGCGGTTCATGGATCACGGGTTAGATAATGGCACAATTTACCAGAACAGTTTGCAGGGGGAAAACATGAATTGAGCAGATTTTGTCTCTAGATTTTTCAGAGGTTGCAAACTCTTGGTTCCATTAATTACATTGATACCTTGCATGCATTATTAAAATTTAGTACAGATCGCTGTAAACATTTTAATAAGTACATGTACCATCATACAAGGTTAATAACTTTTTTCCAGGAAATATTGGGTTTGAATGTACTCTATATTTAGATAGAAAACAATGTTGAAAATTTCTTACCTTAATTTTCAACTACTAAACTTCTAACGTGATGAAAGCGAGTTCTTCTCAGATTACAATATGCAGAGATAAATTTACAGTATCACATTCATTTCCAAAGTTCTAGTAGAGAATAATTTAAGGACATATTTCCTCTATGAACAATTCAAGTGGAAAATATGTCTGCCCGGAGTAGCATAAGATTATATCTAGTAATAAGAACAAAAGAGTAAGCATAATCTGCGACCCCTTGACAAATTTCTATTAGCAGTTGTCAACAAAAAGGACAAATGCAACCTGGACTCAGTCATCCGCTGTATAACCTTCAATTTAGTACCCCATTATTCATGCTACATTACACTTTCCTTTTCCCCAAATTCAAAAAGAAAATACAGATCAAACAAGATCATTAACAAATAAACCAATAATAAGCCTCCCAAAATTCCGAAGACTAGGAAACCAAGTTAACAAATTAAGCCAAAATATTTCTCTAGACCCCAAAATGATGACGATGTCAATGTGAAGAGGTAACACTTGGACACACATATGTATAAACTCTCATGATGATTGATTCACACTTCACAGCTTAACGTGCGTCTGAATTGGTGGCGAGCTAAACTGACCATGATTTTTGAAAGCAACAAATATTTACTTTTTGATGAAGTCACCATGGTTTTGTACCAGTAACACCGGATCAAACACACTTTTAAAGTATCTGTTTGAATAAATTTTCCGGAGACACTCTTAAAAGAGAAAAATGAAAAAAAGAAAATAAATTTCTCCATGAATTAAAACTAGTTTAAGTACAAGTTAAAAATAAAATTGTGGAGAAGTGATAAGAAAAAGTTTCTATAAATTAACTTATACTTAAACTAATTTTAATTTATGGAGAAATTTATTTCATAATTTTTCTCTTAAGAGTCTTTCAGAGAAATTTATGGAGACATGATTTTAGTTTAGTGAGCCATGGCTACCTGGGGCTGTGACTGTGAGTAACTGATGCTTCTTTGGTGTGGCATGGAAAGCATGGCAGTGTGATCCAAGAAATCCTTAAGCTCCACCACAGACTGCAGAATAGTCCTCAGATCCTCAGCACATGAAAAGCCAAAGCTTCCAACTTGCCTAACAGCATAGACATAGAAAGTAATGCAGCCTTTTCTGAACTTGAACCTTGCCATCTCACAGCCACTGAGGCCCCTTATGAGCCTCTTGTTGACATCACCAAGTGCAATCTCTGGCGGCCAAATTCTATCCACTGCAGCCTTCATGGCCTCAGTCTCAAACACAAAGAGGACCACCTTGGACTTCTTGGTGCCAAGACCAAGGGTGAGGGTGTGCCAAGCATGGTGTGCCAAGATGGTGAAGTTTGTGGGCAGGAATGTCGTGGTGGAATTAACTTATACTTAAACTAATTTTAATTTATGGAGAAATTTATTTCATAATTTTTCTCTTAAGAGTCTTTCAGAGAAATTTATGGAGACATGATTTTAGTTTAGTGAGCCATGGCTACCTGGGGCTGTGACTGTGAGTAACTGATGCTTCTTTGGTGTGGCATGGAAAGCATGGCAGTGTGATCCAAGAAATCCTTAAGCTCCACCACAGACTGCAGAATAGTCCTCAGATCCTCAGCACATGAAAAGCCAAAGCTTCCAACTTGCCTAACAGCATAGACATAGAAAGTAATGCAGCCTTTTCTGAACTTGAACCTTGCCATCTCACAGCCACTGAGGCCCCTTATGAGCCTCTTGTTGACATCACCAAGTGCAATCTCTGGCGGCCAAATTCTATCCACTGCAGCCTTCATGGCCTCAGTCTCAAACACAAAGAGGACCACCTTGGACTTCTTGGTGCCAAGACCAAGGGTGAGGGTGTGCCAAGCATGGTGTGCCAAGATGGTGAAGTTTGTGGGCAGGAATGCCGTGGTGGAAGGGAAAGGAAGCTTGTCCTTTGGTTTGGTATTGTTGGTTGGTGGAAAAGATAGAACCTTGAGAAGCTCCAAGGGCCTTGCCCTTCTGATTGTGAAGGACTTCACTATGAACTGACCTCCGAATCTGATACCCTTTACGTCTGAACTTGGCTTGAAGGAGAAATCGGAGTTGTTCTTGGTGGTTTGGTCATTGGGGTGTTGGTGCTTTGGCTTCTTGTTCTTGTTTCTCTTCTCTTTCTCAACCATGATGGCTAGTGGGTGAGGAATTCAAGGGGTTTCGTTTGGTGGACACTAACGAGTTGGTTGTCTATCTTGATTGGTATCATAGCAAGACCAATGTTCAATGCTTTCAATGGGATGTACTATGTAGGAACCAGTAGTGTGGTGCTCAGATTTTTCTTGCTGGGGTTTTTACTTTTTTTTTTATATAATAGAATAAATTGGTTGCAGTCAAAAAGGTGGAAAAACACAACATAAATTTCAACCATTTTAGAAGAAACAGGGCATTAACTAACTATTCTGATTCTATTCTGTTGTACATACTTTTTTTAAACACATCCTCTGTTAATTTAATAGAAGTCCCATAATTTTACCAGTTTCACTTATTTAATACAGTAAGTCTTACTCATAAAACGTTCAATAAATTTTAAGTAGCAGTGAACAGAGTATTAATAAAAGTGTGTTAGAAAATGTAATCTTAGTATTTTAACAAAGAAATATATTTTTTATTTACTTTTTTAAAGAAAATCAATTGAGTACTGATAGATGTTACAATAAGAACATCTGTCAATACTATTTTTCTCTAAAGCTTAATTTACTATTAAATTAAAGAGTGGAGAAGTTTTAATTTATGTTTTAACTGGATTTGACTGAGATAATCAGTGACGCAACTTGACCCCTATTTTTTAGGAGGAAAACACTGGATACAAGTTTTTCTGTTGAGTTTTATTAATTAATGATTTAAAAATTTGTTCTATATTGAATTCATGTGTAAGATTTTAGGTGGAAATTGTTCGGTTTTTAAAGCTTGAAAACAGGCCAATACTGAGGCAAGCCAAGCAGAGAATCTCTGCCACTCGTGCGTGCCCTACCAAGTATTGCCCCTAGAGAGTTGAGTTAATGAAGATATATTAAAATTTATATATTGTACTATAATTTTGTTAAAGTCTTTCCTCCTTATTGCACCATAACTAATTAAAAATGTTTTATAAACTTAAGCTAATCCTAGTAATCTATTGCATTGATGTGAGTAAAGTTTAAGATAAAAAAAAATGTGTTGTCTTCGTTATTGTCACTTGTGATCTTCGCATCAAACAAAGAGTTATCATTGCACCCAAAAAAAAAAAAAAAATTGGTACACGCAAAATACAAAAACAAATAACTATCGGTTGTTCTTATCATCTAACCTAACCAATCCATCCACCAGTTAAAGATAATTCGCCACTAGTGTATGTCACGATAAATAAATTAAATAGATATTTTATTCCTAAACTTAAACACTTAATTTTTAATGTGCTAATTCTTGCTTAAAAACATTTATCATTTTTTTCCTCAAAATACCTTCCCATCACAAGTAGAGGAGGATTAATATATTAAACTACATTCATGCATCATCCTTAGTTTTCAATAATATTGTTTCACTATATAATTGAGTGGAAATGCATATTGGAATTGTTGGTGTACTTTTCTTGTTAAAAAAACATAAAATGGATAACTTTTGTTCATCTGCCAATGCGTGAATATATGCAATAAAATATGTGGACGATGTGTTGCATAGCAGAAGGGGAAGCACCGACACATGTAACATGTAAGAAATCTTGGGTGTCCAAATGAACTAGATTAATTTAGAAGAAGATCATGTGCAGCCATGGGATTGTACTCATTAATCATAATTACACTGCTAATGAGTTCACTAATTAATAGAGATTGGGACCGCATAATGATGGTCACATAGAGAGAAAGAGAGAGGAGGTTACGCTGCCCTCAACAACCATGATAGCACCCATTGGTTTAAAGGTCTTCGATTTTCATAGAATTTCTAAAGATGAGGGCATCCATATTATATCAAGGAGAACCATTGGTATAATACAATTTTTTAACGGTATTAGTAAGAAGAATTTATAGTAAAAAAATAGTGATTCATCTAAGCCGAAAACTTTAAAGATATACAAAATAAGTATTTCTCTCATAATATAGTATATTTTATATTTAAGGTTGATATTTGACTCCTGAATAATTTATTTAAGGAATAAAAGTTGTTATCACTCGTATCAATTAATATCAGTACAATATCCAAATTCAACATGTTAATTCAATTGAACATCAACTTCATAACTTAAAACTAAATAAGTTTGAAGCCTTTTACGTTTAATTTTAATCAATTTAACCTAATTCATTAGATTAAGCCAAATTATACTATTCTTTTTGTGAACATAAAATAAGGAGTACGACCTTACTAATCGAACAAAGAATAGAAAATGTTAATATAATTTTATTGTCTACCAAGAGGGGGAAAAATCATGTCACATATAAGACATTGTAGGTAATAATTTATTAATTTTTAAAGTTGAGTAAGAGGTGAAAACATGTAATTTCGAAAGAAAAAAAAAAACAAAAAGCTTAATATATGTTTAATTTAAATGTCACCATTTGAACATAAATGCATCATGCGACAGTATGCAGTTTGGGATCTGATATATAACTGTGACATTAATACCACAAAGCATTCTTCTGATTTACGCATGCATGATAAAAGATAGTGGTTGATATATATGCATTTGATACTTTTTTTGAGAGAGGAATGAGGAGGTAGGCTTACCTCATTTGACAACTTGAAAGTTCTCTTACTAAAGTGTTTCCTTCTAAAGGCGTCATTGCCTTCAACAATAATTAAAACAGAGAGAACATGAAGAGAGACAACTTGCAACAACAACTTTATCTTTGGTCCTAGCTAGCTAATAATAATCATGTTTCAAGCCCATAAGATACCTAAGCTTTTATGTTATTCATCTTTCTTTAGAAGGGTTTGCAATAATTTATTGCCAGCAGTATTAACTAATAAGGATATATATAAATTGAATTCTCTCTATGTATCTATTAAATTTGAAATTAATTAGTAATTCTATCAAAAAGGAACATGTAAAAAAAAAGAAGAAGAAGAAGAAGAAGAAACTTCCTCTTTTTTATTTTTATTTTTATGTTTTTGCTATAAATTATATGTAGATCATTCATAAATTTTGTTGAAAGGTCTATCAATTTCAAACACCAGAATTGATAGGTACTTTGACATAAGGTTTCAACAAAAAGTTAGCTCTTATTAATCAACAGGCTAATGCGTAAAGATCATGTCTACATCTTCCTAATTGGCACGAAAACTACTAATTATGATAAATAATCTAACATGCATAATTTTCTGTACATCTAACACAATCAAACAACTGATGTTGACCTATATTTTAAATGCCACAACATACAGGTAAGGAACAATCATGGATATATGCTTGAGTGTTTGGCATTCAAAGGACAGTTTCCTTTTCAAATTACAAGGAAGAAGTTCTGTTCAAAAAAATATATATAAAGAAAGTTGAAAGATTTTTTTGGTGAACAAAGGAAAGTTGAAAGATTAATTTCCCAAAAGAATACACTAAATAGATTGTGATCGAGAATATAGTGTTGGGTTGGATATCATTGTTAATTATGTGTTTATAATTAACATTGAAATGCTTCGATTAAATTAAATTGTTAAATGAAGATCTAAACGATCGAGTGGAATTATTTGTGAATGATTTGAATTTAATTTGTTAATTAAATGTTGATCAAAGTTATTTGTTTTACAAAAACTTGAACTTAGGTTATAGTAATTAATAAGTCGAGTTTAATAAATAATAATTATATTTTTTTTATAAAGAATATTATAAAATTGATAAGATTGATATTAAAAGCTTTTAAATATATAACTTAAATTTGTGTGAGCAATGAAAAAGAGACATGCTTGGCAAATTAAGCCTTTTATCTATAATAAAATAGTATGGATGGATGGATGGTATGGAGACAATCATATAGTTTTACAGCTCAATTTTCTCTCTATATATCATTATTGTGCGTTTCCAATCATATTTAGACCAAAAAAATTAGGTAATGACAACTTTAATCAAGCTAAATAGCTTATATTTTCTCTAAAAAAAGTATATTTAAATAAAAAAACATATTTAATAAACTGTAATTATATCTATGAAATTGTCATAATCCAATTTTCATGTTAAAATATTGTTTTATTTTCTCATTTATCCATGAAATTGTTTATTAGGTACTAAATTATTATTTAAGATTTCTTAAATTTCATGTTAATGGCTTCACTCAAATTATGACTTGACCCAACACAACATTTTAGAGCTCTATTTTAGGAGGAGGGTGTTGTCTTGTGATATTATAGTTTATTAATTATGAGACTTCCAAATTAGGAGAAGAAATATAAAAGATTGATTTATACTATAAAATCATAAGACACCGTAGTTGTTTATCTATTTTAGAACCGTAGAATCTTTTGGTTACTAAGTTACAATGAACATAGTATGTAAATTCTCTTTATTTCTTCTCTTTCTATTCATTAATTTTTTTTTTCTCTTTCATAATAATTGGCATTAGAGCTTTAAGCTACGTCTTCATATAAATTTGATATTGAGAAATTTAATAAATTGAATTATTTCACTCAATAAAAACTAAAATTGAGAGTGATTCTAATTAATTCATCAAGCATGTGTGACGACGTTATATAGGGAAGATAAATTACTTGAGTATAAAGAAAACAAAGAAGAAAGATTTTAAATAAGATACACAATGCAATTCTATTACATGAAGTTGTCGAGATGAAACAGATATTGCAGATTTATGGGAAGAAAATGAGGAGCAAATTCTAGAAAGAAAAAAAAATCTAACCAATTAGTTGCAGAAGAAACAACATTTGATGATGGAGATCATGCAAGTAAGAGTTAAAGAGATAGTCACTAATTTTTCTAAACACAGTGCAAATATAGGTTGGTTATGATAATGTGACACCCTTTAGCCTGAAAATATTTATTAATTAATTTATATATAATATATATTTTGTATGAAAATTGATGTATGTTATAGTTCATACTAGGGAAAATTTGGCTCATGTTACGATGGAGATCTTGATTGTAAAGAGACGATCATTAACTTGTTATATATTTACTTCTTTTATGGATTTTCTAATAACCGGAAGCAACACTTCAATCAACAACTACAATTACTTAGGGATAAGCTCACCTATTCATTCGAACACTCTAAAGAGATTTTTTCAATATGTCTTCTTCCCTTCTTCTTCTTCTCTAAACATTGACCTAAGTACATTAATGAAAAAAAAATTCTTTATGCGGAAATTAATACGATATAATTATTTATTTTTACAATTCTTAATACTTAAAAAAACCATAAATAACTCCAAGCAAGTTAATCTAGGCACTAAAGTGATAAAATACTATATATCATACAGCGTAATAAAAGTGAGTTTTAAGTTGAGCATATTTAGTTATGATGCCTGGGTTGAAGAGATGGTACGTATTGAACAGATAAGAGTAGACTAAAACTGTTAAACATAAAGCAGGATATTGAATTTTATGTGGATGGCTTTCGTCTGTACTCTGTAACCTAAAACTTTAAAATTTATTAGTCCTCCGTTTAATTAGTTCGAGGTTGAACAAAAATTGTTCAGTTTTTCAAACATGTTCAACGGTTGAGATCGTTTATGTGCACTTTGTCTTTTTAGCAAGTTGAGTTGAATGGCTTGAGAAAATCTCCATATGAGTTTACCTTTTATCAATAAAAATTTAAATATTCGTGCATTTACAAATACTGATGCAAATTCTAGTGATAAAACTAAACATAAAATGCATCAATAGTTACATGTAGTTCATTTTAATTTCCAAAGAATAGGTCGAGTAAAGTCAAGCAAACACAAATCTTTATTCCTATAATTTTATTTTGTTGACAAAATGGATGTTTCTATTAAGCTTTTAAAAGCATCCGACTTCACAGTGAAGGCTATTAAAAGAAAATAAAAATTGGGTTGATTCCAAATGTTCCCTTTTCCAATTTTTGGAGTAAATTCAATATATTCAGACTTCTTTATAGAGTCTGTCTGTTGTTCAGGAAGCGAAAGAATCAATAAAAGTGCTTTACCAAACAGGCAACAAAAATTACTACTACGAAGGATCGATCATAGGAAATAGACAGCATTGTTAAAGATGTTTCGTGGTTGGCTTTGGAATGTTGATGAGAAACATGTTATGTGAATAGTACCGGCATAAATAGGAAAAGAAAATATCAACGGCTATTTAATAAGGACATATAACTTCTTCTTTTTTTTCCTTCATGAGATCGGTTCTTATAAAGGGAAAGTAATATCTCTATAAGACAATATGCTAAGTATATTAGCAGTTTCTTGATTAAAAATAAATTTTAAAAAAATAGAGAAAGCAAAAGATCATCTTCGTTTGTAATCCACATATAATGCTTTCAAAATTAACATTAGTGATTCTTTTTCTTTTCAAATTGTAGCATCCAAGGTAACAATCGGAGCACTTGTTGTCTCGATCGGAGGAAGACTTCAGCATGAGAATTTCTATAGTTGAGATGACAAATTACATTCTTAAATGTTTTAGATTATGACAACGGCTTGATTTCTCTAAAGGTAGTCTAGAACATAAATAAAATAAATAGAACTAATCAATTTTGGAATGCAAAATCTAAGTCAAGCTATTTAAATTAAGAAGTACTTTTCCTGTTCCAAATCTTAAATATCCTTTTTTGTAACGTTGATAGACAAAAGTAATGAGAATAAAATTTAGTACTTCATTATTATAAAAAAAAACACATTTATTAAACATAAACAAATTTTAATTATTTTTATCTCATTTAATGATAGTTTTTTAAATGTTTTTTTTAATGTATGATCTTTCGGTTGTACTACTTTTTTTTAATGTAGATAATTAATTTTTTAACATGTGTAAAATTATTTATTTTATTTATAATAGAGAAGAGGGAGTAACTATTATAAACTGAAATTTATGAGTCATAATGTCTTGGGCATATAGATTTTAGAACTCTATCCTTTAGTTGAATTGCATGAGAAATATGGGCGTATCTATTAAAATAAGGCTGGCGTGTAGCCCATGGGCCTATAAAGTAGTTTTGAATGACTATCTTGTTTACTATCATCCTCAATTAATTTAGTCCATATGTAATTGTGTATTCCATGACCCAACAAGATGAAAATACTATAAAAAAAAATTGTACAAATTTATCTGAAGGATAACTAATTTGACTAGTTGAAATATAATTTCAATGTTACGAGTAAGAGTCCGTAAGAATTTTTTTTAAAGGAAGATCAGGCCTAGTGTCTATGACAGGAGAAAGGCTGTAAAACAAAAACAAAAAGAACAAAGGAAAAAGCATAAAAGAAATTTGTGGTACAGAATCGCGGATAAAATGTTACCATAAGCCTAAATAGTTACAGAAGACTTGTGAAAACTTTTTTCTTCTCTTATGTTACACTCATTCAGCAAATCTTTTATGCTCACTTATGGTATACTGGACTTGAGATTCTCTATTTATGCATCTATCTCTTTTCAGTTAATAATTGTTGGCAATAGCAAATGCAGAAATATTTTATGATTTCCGGCTGCATTATTTAATGCTAGTTTGATTTGATTTATGTTGTGGTTGTTTGATTCCATTGTGTACTCTAGTCTCCCTTGGACAATAAGTGTGTGTCTAAATTTTCGTTGGTGATTCACCTTTTTAATAATTTTTCACATCAGAACGCATCCAGAACAATAAATAGTTACTTCTCTTATCCACGCTTGAGATTTGTGGATGAGACTCCAAATACGTACTAAGCCTTCACGTATGTCTTCTCGGGCCCATTTAATTTTGAGCGAAACCAAGGTGTGATTTACTGATTTTGGAGTAAATCATGGATCAACGGCGCATTTCTATATACAATGAACAATCTTGTAACCTTTAAAGGTTCTATTTTAGTGCAATCAAATTTGAATTCAAAACTTGATGTATAGAATAGCCAAATTCCCAATAATTACATTCAGAAATCTTTCTAAATGTACTTCGTTAACAAAATGCCTTGATTTTAAGTAAAGATTTTGTGAATTTAAAAATTAGGAACCACAAATGATGATCCTATTTATCCGTCATCATAAAAATTGTAGAATAACTTCAGTTTTTAAAGGTTTCAAAACTTAAATACAAAATTCAAACCAAAGCAAGCCTACATAATCGGGCACACAACTGCTAATTTAATTGCGCACAGCTTGCAAAAGCAAGGTACTTGATAATTTTGGAAATTAGGGATCAACGGTACATTTCTTTATATAGTTATATTAAATATATAACAGTACATTTAATAAAGACTATTAATCCTAAGTCCCTTGGCTTATCAGTATTATGAACGCATTTGTTAATAAATGCCTTAAATTTAGATCCAGATCAATGCGAGTTTGAAAATTGGGAACCCCCAGCGCGATTAAGCTACGAACGATTTTAATATTAAAGCGATGTTCCTACGATTTAGTCGTTGATGGACCATAATATTTAGCCAAAGCATGAAATGTCATGCCAAGTTAACATTCTTTTTCCAGAACACGCAATTTACAAACTAAATAATTTGGGTACATGAATGCATAATCGCAAATGAACTGACACAGCCACACTGACAACATATGACAATGGGCATTCTCTATCTTCCTCTCCCGCCTCTGATTATACGACCGTAAATAAACATCCTCAGATTCTGCAATTATCATGGCCTGCAAATAACAACAAAACACAAACATTGTAAGCCATTCAGAACTAGAGTGCATAATACAAGATTCTATTAAATGTTACTAATACCGAAATAAAACTCTATTTCCGATTAGAGAACACCACTGTCTATGGTAGTAGTCCTATATCTGAGTTTTGTCATTAAAGAAATCACAATTTAAAAAAAAAATAAAAATGAGGATGAGACTGACTTGGATTAGTAGTGGTGATAAGACCGGTGTTGGAGAAGTCACAGTTGTAATCATGGCGACCATTGGCTTGGTAATAGGCATTCATGGCATAAGTTGCAAGGGCCTTAACGTTGTTGGCTGCATAACAATTTCCACCTGGTTGAATTGGCTTACAATCAACTCCTTGGCTGCAGACATAGTTTATGTTTGCTTGTAAAGCTTGGTCACTGGCTTCTGCCTTTGGCACACACCATTTTTGCCCTCCCACTGCAGGTCCTGCGGGTGCTGCAGGCGTTGCAGGTCTAGTAGGAGTTATAGGCCTTGCTGGTCTCTGCATCATAAATGATAACAAATTAGACCATGCAAAATTATTGAGTAAATAATACATGCACAAATTATAGACCTTTACTCTATCACCAAGTATAATTGTCTTTTTTTTTTTTTTTTCCAATAAAAATCAACATTAACATAATTTTACGGATTTAATAATCATAAACTACCTGTGTAACAAGTTTTACACTTTCACCAATCAGAATTCATTGTTAAGATAGATGTTATCAAAGTCAATAAAAACATCATAGATGATGATTTATAATATCGGAGTAAAACTGTTTTGCTTGCATATCTAATTGCAGTACGTGTTTAGTTTCACGTTTATACGACTTAAATCACGAAAAAAAAAAAGAAAGAAAAAAAAAGTGAAAATAACAAGTTATAATTTCTTACTTCTAGCGTCAAATTTGTCAAACCGTGGTGAATAAGTGACGCGAATTACGTATACTCAATCATTTTGCATTCTCCTTTTTACAATTGGAAGCATTTTGTAGACCATGATTCAAGTCGACACTATTATGTTCGAATCATTAAAGAGAAAGTTATTCTAAACAACCTGATAAAAAAAAAGATAGAACTTCTTATTACTACATCTGCTGCTTTTTCTGAATTGAAATGGTTTATTGAAAAGCAAAGAAAAGTGTGACCTTGTGACCGTTTGTTAGCAATAATTATTATATAATATATATAATGAGGAGGCCATGTGGCGAATCGCTTTATAAAGCAAGTGCGGCGTCTAACATGCACCTATGTGGCTAAAAGCTAAATGGATGCAACTTTATCTCTGGCGTTAGATGAGGGTGAGAAAAGGTTCATAATCAACGGCTTTAAAGGCGGGTGGATCCATGCTGATGCTGTAGATTGTAGATCACGAAATAATAATATATTGGGCCAAGAAGAAATTAAACCTGTCCAGTGCGGAAGACTCCGGAGTCGTAAACGGGAGTGAAATCGGGCTGGAACAGGCCCCAGTTGCGCTCGGCTATTGGGCCGGGCTTCTGGTTCTCGTTGAAAAGCGCGAAAAGGTAAGTCTCGAAGGTTCGGTTGGGCATCAACGGCGTTCCCTTGCCCGAAGCCAAGTGCTTGATGAGCTCGGCGTTGTAGGAGCGGGCGTTGTCGATGCTGCAGGCGTCCCAACCGTCGCAAACGGAGGGCCAGCCGGTTTCCCCGACGACGATGTCGACGTCACCGTAGCCGAGGGCCTTCATGGCGGAGAGCACGGCGTCCATCAAGGCATCGAACTGGTTGGTGTAGTGGAGCTTGGTGTTCCTGTCGGTCAAACCGCGGTTGGGCCTGAACAACAGAAAGTTCACGTTTTTCCCGTTGTACCCGAAATACGGGTACGGGTTCACCATAAAAGGGGTCCTAGTCTCCTTCAGATACTTGAGCATTGGGCCCAGCACGTGCTTTGCAAACCCCGGCCTGAATGCTCCCGCACTCGGTGGAATCGATGACCGCATTATCGCCAAAGAGTGTGCAGTCGTCACCTAATCACAAAAATAAATACCAAAAATTACTTCATCTATTTGCTAAATACTAACTTTACTTTAATTATAAAAAAAAATTGTCAGCGTAAGAAAATGAGTGTTAATTACGTGTTAATGAAAAAAAAAGAAGCTTAACATGAAGCTAAGACAGAAGCGGGTACCTTAATGTCGGTGATGCCTTCAGCGATGAGGGCGGAGTGGAGGGTCCTCATGGCGGGAACGAGGCCGCGAATCATGGCGGTGTCGCCCCAGTGGAGGACCTCACTTCCGACGAGGATGTAGTTGATTTTGGTCTGAGGATGAAACGGTTTGATGTTTGCGACCACCCATTGCCTGGCGGACTCGATCTTCGAGAGGGCGGCGATGTCGCCGTTGGGGGCCGTGACCGTGACGGAGATGTTGCTGTTGGCGAAGGCCTGAAGGATCTGCGGGCTGACGTCGTAGATCTTGACGCGGTCGATGGTGGTCTGCGTCTTGAGGAAGTTGGCCACCGCAGCCGGCGCCGGGAGGTTGTCGCCGAGCGTGCCGTAGTTGACGCCGATGGCGTGCGCGGCGGCCAGGAGGTGGAGCGCCAGGAGCGCGGAGAGGAAGGAGGTGGTGGCCATAGCGTGCGGTGTTCTAGAAATCAGAAGTTGAGGAGAAGGGCGTGGTGAGTTTGTATATATATAGAGGTGAGATTGAGAGATGGACTCTTTATTTTTAGAGCATGGGTCAAAATAGCAACGGATGTTTTTTGTTTCTAATCTTTATCTATTTTGTAATGACAACGGCTTAGCGTGTCAATTGTTTAGGCTAATTGTAGAATGTGGACCAACTGAAAATTATCTGCGGATGTTATTTTAATATATATATTCTTTTTCAAATAAGATTTTGTCAATTTTTAAAACACTATACTAATAGTGTATGGTGTCAAAAAAAAAACTATAGCATATATCGTCATATACAATGATTTGGGCTTTGAAAGCGAAACAATTGTTTCTTTGATAGCTTTTATTTATATAAAAAATATAATTAAAATAAATGCTTTAAATTAAGAGTTATAATTTTTTTTTTGTCTTTATAATTTTACTAATTTTATTTTTTAATCTTTATAATTTAAAATACATATTTTTTTATTTCTCATATTTACAATTTTTAATCATTTTTATATTTTAAAAGTACAGAGGGAAACGATTAGTGAAGAAAAAGCGTTCGTGATTGGTGCAAGTTAAAATGACAAGGCTTGTAGAAAAGTAAAAAACGGAAACCACAGTCACGTGGATTGAAATGTCGCTTAGCACAAGAAGGCTTGGTTGAAGGGCCACGGAATTGGGTTAATTATGAAAGTAACGAACAAATTACAAACGCGAAGGAGAGGGGCACGCCATGCTCATGCTGTGGGTGATTTGGTGGGTTTTGAATTTGGGAATCGGATTCAAAATTAAACATAAAGTTATAAAATAAATGGTGGGACCAACCACGGTGTCATGAGTCAAAAAAGTCACTTGAGATTTTCCTCATTTTATTTATTTATTCAATTTAAGGTCCCAAAGTGTGGACCAGACGCATCTTTGGTGTACTATGCGCATGGGGCAACATATAAGAGATAAAACTGTTGTACTCTTGCGACCCTTCTAGCTGTCTCCATGTCTCAGAAAACGTACGCGTTTTCACGTGTCATTTGTAGTTACTTGGAGTTTTACCTTACCTTGAAAATTTGGTGTTTGTGGGTACAACGCGGTTTCTACGAGTTTCGCTGAAGCTCACTGGGTTCTAGCCATCTAGCTTTGGGCTCTATTATTGCTTAGCCCACTGGACAAGCCCATATTTCCAAAAATAAACAACCTTTAACTCTAAAACCACTCAAAAAATAGTTGCAAAAGTTATCTAATATTATGTCTATGGATAACAACGGGAGAGGACGGGTATGCATTTCATGATACTCGTTCGTAACTCAAATTCATCTCCATATCCGTATTTATACCTGTGGAATATATTATTTTCGTCTCTATCTCTATCCCCGTCAAGTATTGAGTATATCAGTACCCATCAAAAATTATTATAGTTAGATTATTTTTCTATCTCATATTTTAATTAAGAGACTTCTTAATAATTAAATAACTATAAATGTTCTACATTATAATAAATAATCATACATAATAAAATATTAAAATTCTTTAACACAATTAAATCGAGAGTGAGTATTAAACTGGAGATGGGGACAGGGACAGGGACGGGTAAGTATATACCCGTACCCAGTTTAATATATCAGGTTTTACCCATACTTGTACCCGTATCTGATCAAATTGAATATTTTTCGTCAAAGTCGAGACAAGTTTGGATTTAGGTATTACTCACGAGTACGAGTTTATTTGTCATTCCTAATTATGTCAAGTCACTTTTTCTTTTTGATGTTAGAATTTATGTTGATTTTATGTTTTCAACGACAACAATAAAAGAAATAATTTTTTCTTAAATATTGACAAAATATAATTATTTTTACCTTATTTAACAATACTCTCTAACATGTCTTTCCTTTAATGCATAATCTTTCGGTTCCATTATCTTTTTTTCACATTTATAGTAAGGATAATTTGAAAAAAAAATGTTATAGTATTAGTAAAATTTAATGCAGTTAATTAATTTTTTTAATATGTGTGAAATCATTTTTTATAATAAACAATAATATAATTTAATTGTTCTAATTTCATTTTATAGTTAATATAATTTTCTAAATTACCTTTTCTTGAAACATGATATTAAGAATAAAAAAAATATATTATTAAAAATATAATCTCAATTAAATAAAGACACATTTTAAAGATAATAATATTTGATAGAGTAAATTTAATTAAAATTTAATTATACTTAAAATTGACAAAGTATATAAATAATGCAGTATTCTTCTTACAAGCTATTTTTGTAAGGGTTCATAATGAATGATGATATTGATCGAGTCTAATTTAAGAATTAATCATTTATTATTATGTCAACCACAATTATTATTTTTCCACGTATTCATAGATGTCCAAATATATGTGTATGCGTATAAACAAATTACTTGTATAGGTGAATTATTAAATATAAACTAAAATAATATTATAATTTTCATAAGAATTGAATATATATTTTTCTTCGGAAGGCATAATGTTTTTAAAACTGTTATTTTCATAATTTTTGTATATAACAAAAGTTATACTCTCAATCTCTTTTAAGGTTTTTCAAGATTAAACAAATATTTTTATGGACTAATAAAAATATAAAAAGTATATTAACTAAAAAAATAAATAATTTAGATAAAACGTGTTCAAACTAGGTTTAATATAAAAAATGGTGTAATAACTTGTGCCATACATATTTAAGATTACAGTCTACACCCTTTTTTTGTATTATTATAATTTCAATGTATTTACTAATATTTTTTTATTTTCCATAAATTCATGTTAGTATATATTTAAAAACATATAAAATAATTATGAATTTTGATATAATATTGTATCATTTTAATTTTTATAAACGTGTACTTTAAATATATATATATATA